AAGAAAGGCTATGGTGGAATGCTATCACTGGAATTTGAAGGAACTGACTATCTTTTTATGGTCGGAGGGATAGGTACTACACCAGCTGTCAAACATCTTCAGTTTCAATATGATCAGTTTAGGGATGGACGTGCTCTCACTAATGAACAGTTACTTTATAATCTATCTAATGGTGAGTGTCTTTTTATCAATTGTGTGAATATGTGTTGAGATGTGACAGTTGATGACATTATTAATTATTTATATTTATCGTATTTTTAGGACAATTCACAGTTCCATCTGTCAGTGGACAGTGTTGTCCACCAACTAGTGGTTTTACAATCAACAAAATAAATCAAAATAAAGGAATAATGTTTGGAGGAACAGTAACTAATGATGGTCTATATACAGTTACTAATAATATGTACATATTTAATGTGACACATAATACAATAGTAAGTTATTATTATTATGACAGTCATGAGATTATTTATTAGTAAAAAAGGCTATCCTTTTTTTACCTTATAAGGTATTATGTTTATGTTTCATGTATTTAGCATTGGGAGAGTATTAAAAAAGGATCAATATCTGGTGAGGGACTCTGGACTAAGGAGAGAGATGGTCATGCTAGTGCTATTATCAATGGTGACTCTACCTCACCTACACTAGTAGTGATTGGGGGACAGTATAAGTACAATCAACTAGTGAATGAATGTTTATTATTTGATAATATCACTGCTGGTCAGTTCAGTTGTAAGAAGGTATGTGTACATGTGTATGTTGTTTATGTATAATTTAATATTGAGAGTTGAAGGAGCCTCACCATTATAGACCACCTGTGTGTTAGACACTTCTTTGAAGTCGGCAAAACATTGGGGTACACGTGGCCAGGCACACCCACTGGTTGGCAAAAAGCAAAATGACTGCATTGACTGGCTGGAGGAGTGAGTATTTGTGTCATTGTCTTAGGATGCCAGAAAGTGCTACATGTACATGTATACCTTGCAAAGCTTGAATGTGTTGGTTTCATGATCAATGATGACCCTTATTTGCTGAAAACAACAACCATTTCACATCAGAGATGAGGAGCTGGCCAAATCTCGAGTTTGGCCATATTTCCACCTACATGTACATGCACATGTACTTCAAGTTGTTAGCAGGCCTGGGCTATTCACATTAAGGTGGATTCTCAATATGACGCATGAGTGTCCGTCATGACCGGAAGTGCTGTATAAACCAATAGGAGCATGCGTCAATGTGTCAGATTAGAAAACATTTCTAATCTGATGCATTGACGCATACTCCCATTGGTTTATACAGCACTTCCGGTCATGACGCTAGCGCATGAAAAGCAATGCGTCATATTAGCCCCGTTTACACTATGCC